GCATTAGCAAATATGTTCTACTTGCAGAAAATGAATAGTTCTAAAAGATAGGACAAATACAAAGGAGTAAAAGACCAAAGTGAGTTTATATAAGAAAAGAAATCACAGGGTTAATGAGATGTACTTCCACAGTTGCCAAGGGCAACAAAGGAAAGAACTGATGGTTGTAGGCGTAGCTGAGGTACCAACGGGATATTCTGTCCCTCCTAGAATTGTATCTTAGGTACCTGAGCATGTAACTCAACAGTATTTTGTAGTGTATTGGAGTAAGTGTAAACTTACTTGCCTGTGAGGAAAGTTTTTGGTTTTGTGTTTTTGTTTGTTTGTTTTAATTATTTTTGGAGATGCTGGAATGAGGTTTTATATTTATGGAAGTAGCCAGTGGTTTTCAGGTTTTGATAAACAATGCTCCTACCTCTTTTTCCTAATCAAAATATCCTTTTAGCTCTTTGGTATGTGTACAAAAAATGGAACAAATCAGAGTAGAGAAATTTGGATAATTATAGTATACATAATTCCCTTTGGAAAGGGTAGGTGGAGAAAGAAGTATACACAGCGTATCCATGGGGTAACATTTTTATCATCTTCTTTAAGATTGTGGATGCAGTTATTTTTAACTAGCAGTGTTACCTTATCTGATAGCCTTTGAAAAGGGTTTACGAGGCTTCTCATCTATACTGTATTTCTTGATTAATATCAGATAAGGACTGTAGACCCAGTCTACTAATTTTATTCCATCATATGTTTTGAACATGTAAGTAGTTCTCATTCTGAGTTGAACTACTTCTTTGAATAGTTAACTTTTTTGCAAAGGACTGAAAAAGTCTCTGTCCCCTCTGACAGACTATAGTCTAATTTTCAGAGGAAAAAAAGGGGCTGGTGACAGGAAGTGCGCGAGCCACCATTTTTCATTCCTGATGTTTGCAATTAAATTAAGCATGCGTTTGGCTTCATTGGTGATAGCAAAGCCATTGTTTATAATGAATTTGAGCATCATTCTGACAATCTGGCATGCAAACATAGCTTATTGCTAATAAGCCTAAATTTCTGCACTCCAAGCAAACTTGGCCATATGGAAAAAAATTGCACGCAGAAGGCCAAAAAGCCACCCAGAATTCTGCTTGAAGTTTCAGAGGTTTTTCTTGCTTGCTTTAAAACTGAGCTTCTGATTTTTGTCCTCCAAGGAAGATTCCTATTGCTACTTGTCACCTAATGGTTGAGGTTATCCTGGTCTGGTTTTCAGTTCAGGTGGTGGTGTCATATATTAATCTGGGCTGGTTAGATTGTAATTATTTTCTTCGACATTCTGAGCTAAATTTATAGGACTGTTGTGTTACAGATTTTGGTTTAACTGGAAAATACCAGTGCTTCAGTGTCATGTCTAGTAAGTCTATATTGAATAAATTTATTATCAGGTTGGTTGTAGCCATGCATTTTAAAATAACTGAAAGGCAGAAAGTTTATAGGAAATTTCAATTCAAGGAACAGCAGAAAGCTTTCCCTTGGGCTCTAGTACTGGGCAACAGTGCGTAAGTATACCTTATAAGCACTTCTCATAAATCTGTTTTCAGGGAAAAATCTGTATGGCTTTAATCTAATAGAGCAGTGTAAACTAAGTAAAACTGATTTCAGTTACATGCAAGTCATCAAATAGTGCAGTATTTTTGCATGTTATGTGATTTACTTTTGCCATACACAGTGCATTGACCTCTGCATTACAGGTAACGGAAAACAGCCTGCAAGACTTTCACCAAGCCTGTGTAAATACTTATGTTACTGGCTAGGAGTTGTGTCTATCCTCTTTTGTGCAATTGGATTATTAAGGCTGAGATGTCCTAGGCATTTAAGAGGGCACTTCCCACCACTCAACACACACGCATGTTCCCTGCTCCCCACACCATGAATCCCAGAATTTCAAGGCATTGCTGTAGGTTCTCCTTGGCTCCTTGACCCCATGCATTTTTGAGAGAGCAGGGCAAACTGAAGCATTTCCAGATGGTATATTTCTCCCTGTTTTGCTGCTCTGCAACATGGAGGATGGCCACAGTTATATGACGTATGGTCACATCACAAAAGCATGAGGTGAAGGGGTATAAGTATCTCTAAGATGCCTGGAAAAAAAAGTGGTATTCCTTGTAGTGCTTTATTTTCATATTGCTCTCTACCATTCTTATTCTTATTTTTGAAAGGTTAAAATATCTGATGCCTCCACGCCCTGTTGCCTCAATGACTGAATCTGTTGACTCAGTCTCTGAATCCGTACTCTGAAACGTGACAGGCAATTCAGAAACTTAGCATATTCTCATGTCTGTAACCTTTCTTGACTGATACTCAAAACCAAGATGAACTCTTCCCTCTCCCGGGGCTTCAGGGGAATCTCTGCCGGGGCGCCTGGAGCCCCTCCTCCCCTCCTCCCGCTCCCCCCTCGGGGCTCGCAGGGCTGTTTCTCACCCTGCTGCCCTCAGCCCCGGCTGCCGGGCAGCGTTTCGCCCTTCCTC